ATTACACGTTTCTACGATATGTAACTCATAGGAGAAGAAAATCGTAACTCAGTTGAATTAGAAGTCAATATGGAAATTGACTTTCAGCCATAGGCTTAAGTTAGATTGGGATCGTCTCTATTCAATTCTAAATTATCTAACAAACTTCCCTAGCAGTTCAGAAACTGAAATGGAAAGAAAGGAATTCAATGTTAGGAATCACTGCATACCAGAGCATAGGGTCTTTTCGGCTCCTACTACTTCTACTAGACTTGTAAAAGATAATAAACAAATTTTCGAGCAAACTCTATTTGTCTGAATATCACTTTGGGTCTTGTATATGTATAGAAACAGTAAGATTACTTTAAGCTAGTTCTAGTAAAATTTTCTATATCGACTTAAGTGGGATAAATGCTAGAACTCTCTTATAAATATTCAGTTTGTATGGTCAAATTTATTAATTTTCTACTCACAAGTAAGTTAATAAAGAAGTACGGAATAAACATAATTTAAGAATCGTCTAAGTTGGTAAGAGTAAATTATTTTTAAAGGCCATCCATTTGATATTAATCCAAACTCATGAACATTGAAAAACTTTTGAAAAAGAGCCGTTTATATTCAGGACAGTCGATGGATACCAGGATAGTCATTGAGACACACAGTGGAAAGTTACTTTGTACTTTAGCAGAGTAGAGAATGATGGAAATCTGGGCAAACGCAACAAATGAAAGAAATAGTAGTTGGTTGATATTGGTATTGAAAATAAAAAGTTTTGTTTTTTAAATGTTATGTAAAATATGTAATAAAACCGTTAGAGGCGAAAGTGTTCCAATAATTAATCACTGTTCAAGATTTTGATCCTCTCTGCACTGTGGAATAATTATAATTGCCTTTAGGTTTTTACTTACGATTAATAATCGCTCGAGGTGGCCCATTCATCGCTAATTTTAAATGAGTTGTCAATTCTCAAAGTGCATATTTGGATTTTGATTTGCATATTGGCATTTTGGATGGATCTAATAAACTATAATGATTCCCCGCTGAAAGCTTTTCAGAAAAAAACAAATTATAGTACAATTTCGTGATTAAGTTGTCGTCTAACTGTTTTACTTTAGATACCAGTAACAAGTACAGCAAACACAATGATTTTTGTTTTTGGATATGTGTTTTTTCTTGAAGTACTGATATTGTTTCTTTCCAATGTGTGCCCAATAACAAGTAGTAAGTATTCATGGTACTGAATATTGAAAATCCAAAATAATCTGAGCTCATAGGGTTAAGCTTCAGGTGTAACACTCGCCCCTTATGGCTCGTGTACAATATATGTTAAGTTGAAATTTGCCAGGTCGTGTTTTAGAAACGGTATTTTCCAATAAATCTTGGCTTAGTCCTGGATAACGTACAGCATAATAGCCGGGACTCGGTCTATTACTCTATCTTAGCTAAACTATTATAGTTATTCTGGAATTATAATATGCCATTTTCAGATTGATTTTATCAACGCCATTTAACGAGGTATTAATTGGGTAACCTTTAACAATAATTTATTTTTTAATGTATAATTCAATTAAATGGTGGTACATATTGGTTCGAAGTTCTCAAAAAATAAGAACTTTAACTAAGTTAACGAACACTTCCTCCTCGTTATGAGTATGCTAAAAATAAGTTTTCATACAATTTTTTACTGCAATTCAGTCTAAACGTAAGTATAGTAAGTTTGTACACACATATCTTTTAGACTTTTAGAGTACGGTGGTAATGACTATAGCAAAGTTGTAAACTGATCATCGTAGCTGATGTCGTAAATGCTTAAAACTATATAAAATTGTAGGAAAAGGTTCTATTCAATGTTAAAACGCTTTTGTGGAAGTTTTTTCGACTCTTTAATCTACTCTTTCTGTAAATTACCCCCCATTATTCTCCAAGCAGCTAGTAAGGATATAGACGTCGATAAAAAGCTTACAATGAACTTATTTTAAAACTTTGCTCATGAATAATTTTGGCTTTTAAAGATTTTGTCAACGTTTAATTTTACGTTCCTATTTTTTCAGCTAAATATTTGAAATTAGCCTTAAATAAACTGCTCATTGCAAATGCACTAAATTAATTCAATCTTTGTTTAGTATTTTTTTTCCTTAGCTGTTCTTACTGCTGCTGACAAATTAGGGAAAATAAAATGTGAAATAATGTATTATAACATTTTCTTCTACTGACTGAGTTCTACTAGAATTTATAGGTAATATAAAAAAATACAAATATAATGACTTTTTCTACAAAACATCTAACGTGAAATTAACAAGACGTTTCTCAGTTTTTATAATTAATTTTATATATTTGTTATAAAACATTATGTTTAGAGAGATGATAAATTATTAGCACGTAAGGACCAATTCCAGGACCTTTTATTTTTCATATCCTAAGTAATGCGTGAAAATACACCAAACTACTATTTTCAGAACAAAATAGTAAGTTTCGTGTGTCTTCATTTATTAATTGATTAGTCTGATGATGAAAACAAGCACATATGTTCTTGAATGTTGCCCCTAAGAAATATATCTGCTAGAAGAATTTGTAATTAGACTTGTATTATTGTGAATTTTTATATCTGCGTTTTTAAGCTTTCTTAAGCGTTCTTAAGCCAACTAACGTTTGAGTAAAATATTACGCCAATATCATGCATGTAAACTAGCCAATACATATAAGTAACATATCATCGATGATCTCTTCAATATTTTATTTTGTAGGATCCTTGGCAATAATCATTGTAATTTGTATTACAAAACAGTCCAAAAAGCTTTCATAATTTCAAATAACAAAAAATTGCATAAAATGCATGATATTTGCTATTAATAATTATGTGCAATACTTTTTGTTTTATTGTTAAATCTAGTAATTAATTTCAACAAACTTCACATATTACACAATTCATATAATTGGATCAAAATATAATTTATCAAAAATGTATATTTTGGGATTTCCAAAAATTGAATTTTAAATCTCGTTACAAATGCTGCGCATAAACATAAATTTAATGAGCTGGAATATGTTCATATTTTTGTCATATTCAATAAGTTCATAATTCAATAGCCATTACATTATAGACATGATTTTCGAAAATTTCCAGCTTATTTAATATATACTAAAGCATGTAAACGTAGACCTGAAAAAAAATGCTTTGGTTTGTCATTAATTAATATTCGGTCATTGTGAATTTCTCCACAGCAAGGGCTATATGTTCAAGGTTTTTTACTTGAAACTTGGTAGTTGAAGCGGAATCATTTGTACTTGTTGACCAAATGTTAGAAAATTTTACAGTCCTTTAGCAAAATACTCATAATGTGTGTTCTTAATGGAGTACAGAAAAATGATTATTTAATAAAAAAATATTAACTTTATCGTGTTTTATGTCACTATTATTCCAGGAAGAAATTTGTGATTTTTTTCAGAAACATCGCCTTAAGTTTGACAACAGGCATCTGGTTCCAATCAACGTGTTCCAAAATGTCCATTTTGGGGTTTTGAGAAATTAATAAATTATCCCTCGATTTATTGCTACCTGGCATAAGGACGCCTTTCTAACTCAGTTTAGTAATCCTTAAAGTAATATGAATATGTCTAAAAGCGACTAGCGCCCTGTTGGCACCAAATCCTATACTTATCATTCCACACTTTTAGAACCAGTGCAGAACCCATCATACAACCAAGCTAACCACGCTTCTTCGCTCAGACTCAATGGATGTCGCCACCAAAAAGACCGTATTATTGGTACCAATTTTGTATATCTACCACGGCAATGCTTTCATAGCCCCAATTCTTCAAAGAACCAATCATTTATATTTTCTTCAATGTAAAGTTTCTCAAAATTTTCCATTTAGCCCGGCGATTGGAGCGCATTGCGTTAATACGATAATAGTTATTTATGATATAAGTTCTAAATTACAATTTTAAGGCACGCATGTGAAAGTTTGCACGAGGAGCGAAGCGAGTTCCGCAATTTGCATGAGTGTCTTAAAAGCACTTTCAACACAAATTCCATTTAATAATTTGTCGCATTAAAAATTTCATTGAGTTTTTCCATCTGACATAACTATTGCCGTGGGTATTAGGCAGACATGTTCAATTTACCAATAATTTCCTCACGACCATAGTGGCTCGGCACTATTTGTTTGAAACTTTCAATCAGATTTAAAACTTGTGATTTTATTACAAAAGTGCAAAGAAACAAGTTGATGAGGCTGCAAGAACGATCACGTTGCTGACCTATATTGCGGAACTTTCTCAGTTTGAAGCTTTTTGGCTTAGCTCAGCTGAAGTCCGTTGGCTTTGAAGTGCCTTTCTTTCATCACTCAGTCAT